AGACGCTTCTACTTCCTTTTCGCCGCGGGAAACATATACCTGCTGTCTTTGTTTACTTTAGATTTTGGGCATTATTCTAAAAATAATCCCATGCCTCGTTACTTCACTTCTACTTTAATTTTTCGTTATACTGAGTTTCTCATATCCTTTTTAATTTTTTTCATTGTTTCTATCATGAAACACAGTTATGAAGAAATAAATTGAATTTGTCTCAGACGCAATAACGTCGTACAGGAAAATTTTTTTAGAACTATGGAAATTGTGAAAAATTCGTATTTGGAGATGTTCCGATTCTCCCAAATTTTCAATAAATTGTTCGGGTGGCCAGTTTTGTTAATTTGCTTCTATTCCGTGGTGCAACTGCTAGACTGTTTGTCGTTTATCGGCCATATGAGGACTAATTTAGACACAATCCAAAACCGGTGGCAGTTTTCCGTTCACTTGCTTTATGCATTTCAAATAACGGTGAGTAAACAGTTTGTTTGTGAAATTTTGATTTTGTTTATATTAGCAACTAATACATTTGGATTTCTAAAATAACCGTATAATTTATTGAGTGATATTAGGTATATACTTGCAAAATAAGCGCATTTAAGTCTCAAAAACACTGACACAAAAATTTGAGACCTTAATTGATTCATTTGGAGTTGATAATATATCTCCCACTATGTTAAAATACTGCAGTCCATTTATTGATCCGTATGTTACCCATATAATTAATTGCTGTATTGAGAAACAATACTTTCCTTGTTTGTGAAAAAAGGCAATCGGTTTACCTATACCCAAAAAAATGATCCAGAATCATTCTCTGATCTTAGAATAATTAGTATATTACCTGCGCTTTCCAAAATTTTTCAAAGATTGTTATATAATCAAATTTATGATTATTTTGTAAATAATAGTCTCTTACGTCAATCGCAATGTGGCTTCAGGAAAGGATATAGTATTTCAACTGCTATAATTACCCTCACTGATGATTTATTAAAAGCGCAGTACAGGGGACTAGTTAGTGCTTTAGTTTTATTGGAATTCTATAAAACTTTTCACACAATTAATCATAAGCTTCTTTGTTCTAAACTTAAGTACTATGGGTTTGCCGAACATACGTTTGATCTTATTAATTCTCATTTACATGGAAGATCTCAACAGGAATGTGTTATTAACATTTTATCTCATAGTTTAGAAATACGTTCTGGTATACCCTAGGGTTCAATTTTGAGTCCCTTACTTTTTATAATTTACACTGCTTCCATTTTAGAATCAATTCAACAATGTAAAGTACAAGCTTATGCTGATGATACTCAACTATATTATCATTTTGATATTAATGATCTGGATCAAGCATGCAGTATTATCAGCTTTGAGTTACATACTGTAAGGCAATTATCTAATGAACATAATTTAAAATTAAATTCTAGCAAATCAAAAATTATTTTTTTTTTTTTGGTACTAAGAAAAAGGCACAAATATTAAGACTCAACTTTAATATGATGGTATTCCAATTCCTATTACTGACAGTGTAAAAAATCTGGGAGTGACTCTTGACAGTAACTTACGGTTCAATTAGCATGTGAAAACATTACTCCAAAAATCTTATTCTTCGCTTAGATTAATTTATGGTAGTCGTCATATTATGTGAGTCACTTGTTCTTCCCTATTTTAATTACTGTGATTATGTCTATGGTCCATGCCTTAGTATACAAAAAAAACAGAATTCAAAAAGTTCAAAGTTCATGTTGTCCTCTTGCACATGGATTAAGAAAATTTGATCATATTTCTCACAAAATTGTAGAAATCAAGTGGCTCAACATGGAGAATCGTCGACGTAACCATCTCGGCAATCTTGTGCATAAAATTTTAACCATTCCTTCTTATCATTCATTAAAAACTTTTGTTAAACGTTCTAATGTTCATTCGAGGAATATCCGATTTAAAAGTACCTTTACAATGCCACATCATCGCCCTTTTTAAAAGATGTTTTACTTATAATTATGTACTACAGTACATATTACGTGCTTATTTTTTTGCAGGTTTGGCTGACGGCTGTCATATTTAGCTGTGACTCAGTTGTAAGAGAAGCAGATGAGTTACTAACGAATTGCTATAGACTGGGACAATCGTTGCCTCTTTTTTCGAGGGAATTGGAAGAACTGCAAAATTTAAAACGGCTAATTCAGGATAAGAGTCCAAAGTTTACAGCAGCTGGCTTCTTCGAAATAAGAAGATCAACTTTACTTTCCCTGCTTAGCGCTACCACAACATATTTTATTGTTGCCTTGCAATTTAATTATGTGTAAATGCACTGCACTCTTTTCCTCATACATTTAAATACATATAGGAGTAGGAGTAGAGGAGAAAATACAAAATTTAGATGTTTGGAAATTACTGCTGACACCGTGTTGAAAATGTTTGTAGTAATGTAGCACAACCACAACTGATTATTGCCGTTTCACATTTTGAGGTTTTATGAATAAATTCTGTACATTTTATTTTGTTCCAAATAACCTTTTAAATAAAGCAATTCACATAAATAATCTTTTTTCCCAGTTAAAGGGCCTCGCACTAATTAAATTAAAAGTGGTCTCGGTGAAAATTGAAAATTGTTGTAGATAGGTACGAGTTATTTTTGGCCTCTGGAATAAGTCATAAAAACCCCGGCAGATTTGTTTGTTTTTCTGTAGGATTATCTAAAAAAAGTAGTTAAAATTGAAAGCTGAAAATTTGTATACAGGGGTTAATCAAAAAAATCTATTCAGTGAAAATAGTGTCAACTTTCTAGCACTTCCGGTTATATCGGAAGTCATCATCAACTCTGTTATTTCAAATGGAACACTCTGTATATTTTTGCATTTTTAAATTCTTCTGTAAAATCTAGACTAATTTCATATAAGGTACTACATACCAAAATATGACAGTTTTCAAGTTATTATTAATTTTCGAAAAAAATTGAGGGATGCAAGTGATTTTTGAAAACAGAATAACTCCGACATTTAGCTTTATTTTTTTCAGAAATTTGGCACGTATAATTGAAAAGCAATGGTATTCAACCAGTTTTTGTCAAATTTACAAAAAAAATATACAGGGTGTTTAAGAACGTGTAACCAATATTGAGACATTGAAGTTGAATTTACCCAAATATTTCAAATGGTACACCCTGTATATTATTACATTAATGGATGCACAATTAAAACTTTAAAGTGATACCATAGTTTTCTATGCCCAAAGTTAACAGTTCTTGTATAAATTGAAAATTATTGATTTCAACACAGAAAAACGTACGGTGGTTTTGATGTATTAAAGGATTGAATAATAAACGGTGTCTGATTAATGAACTGTAATTATTATTATTGTTATACCTTCATCGAAAACAATAATTCAGTATAGTAAATTAAAAAGGGCGATGCTTTAAATAAACCCACCATATTCTTAGATTTTTCTGTGTTGAAATCAATAATTTCCAATTTACACAAAAACTGCTAACTTTGAGCATAGGGGACTATAGTATCATTATAAAGTAAATTTAATTCTGCATCTATTAATGTAATAATATACAGGGTCTACCATTTGAAATTTTTGAGTAAATTCAACTTCAACGTCACAATATTGGCCACACGTTTTTAAACACTATGTATGAATTTTTGCAAATTTGACATAAACTGGTTGAAATCCATTTCTTTTAAATTATCCGTGCCAAATTCCATTAATAAATAAAGCAAAATGTCGGAATTATTCTATTTTCAAAAATCACTTACATCCCTCAATTTTTTTCGAAAATTAATAACTAGAAAACTGTCACATTTTGGCCCATAGTACCTTATATGAACATGGTCTCGAAATTGCCGTAGAATTAAATAATGCATAAATATACATAGTGTTCCATTTGAAATAACAGAGTTGATGATGACTTCCGGTATAACGGTAGTGCGAGGAAGTTTACACTATTTTCAATAGATCTTTTTGATAAACCCTTATACAAATTTTCAAATTTCAATTCTGACTAGTTTTTGAGATAATCCTACTGGGCCCTCTTCGTGATATACCCTGTATAAAAAATGAGTATCCTTAACTGACCCTTGTGACGCAGATGATTTATTTAATTTTTTTTAATACGTAATGTTTCTAAAGATTCCCCCACATCCTAAAAAATAAATAATTAATAATAATAATTAAATATGTGCAATATTTTATATAATAAACATGATGTTTTAAAACATTCTGCCACAAAATTAGTTTTTACTAAAAGGCCAATCCAATAAGACTAATATATTAATACCTCATCCATTACTACACTGTCAACAATTATTTTTATTACCATTATGTGCTGTCAACTAGAATAGACAGAAACTAGACTACGCATTTTTATTAACCAGAGTATTTCCGTTCGATTTTCCCCTTCGTCGAACTGTTTTAGTTTCACTGCATATGATAAAATGATTGCTGTAGAGAAAAAATTTTCTATTCCCTTCATCGTAAAACTAACAAAATTTTTTTCCATCTTCGGGATAATGCCGTGGTATAATTTTGAGAAACAAGTGCTGGTGAGACCGAAAACATTTAGGTTTTATTCAGTTATTTTAACAGTGCTTTTGATATACAGTTCTTTGAGACTAACTTATCCCCGTTACTATGTTCTCTATAAAACCATTTCGATCCAGTTTATCTATAGCTTTTTATTCGAGGTGCAATCACTAGCTACAGTTATAGTGGCTATTTTAGGAGGGAGTTTTTGGAACATTCAGGCTTGGGCAAGTCTGTATAAGTATATAAACATTGAGGCTCAGATGAAAAAGAAAATACTAATTCTCAGATTTGGAAAAACTATTTTTGTTTTGCAAAATGTGTACTTATTTTTGTTATACTTCTTTAACCTAAAAGTATTGGAAGATATAGGCAACCTTGGCGATTATTTTGTAATAACTCTTCTGCTGGTATATTACATATTCCTTATAACATTTACAATTATCTTTATAGCGTCATTAATTAAATGGGAGTATATATGCATGAACAAATTATTAAATGAGCGTAACCTAGAGGGCAGGGATCTTCTGAAAGTTGTAAGGAAAGTTAGTAAATTATATTTAAAGATGGACGATGTCGTTGAGTACTTTAATCGGTTATTTGGCTGGCCTATGCTACTGATCTTCTTCGATTTCATCTTACTTATACTAAGTGCTTTGGTAGCTGCTACCAACGAGAATTTTACGTTCCAAGATCGAGTTTATAACACGAATACCGATGCCGTCTTGGTGAACATTTTTTTTATACTTCAGTCAGGGGTAAGTGTAATTTACTACATGTCTACTCACTTTATGAAACATATTACTGTTTTTTTTGTGATTTACTGTTAATTTTTGACTGTATAATCAATTTTCAATAATAAACTTTACAAATTGTTTTTTGTTGTAGGTTTGGTTGACGGCTCTAATATTTTGTTGCGATTCAGTTGGAACAGAAGTAGAAGAGTTACTAACAAATTGTTACAGATTGGAATATAAATTGCCTTTATTTTCCATGGAACTTGAAGAATTGGGGAACTTGAAAAAGCTAATCAAGAATAAAACTCCAAAGTTAACCGCAGCAGGCTTCTTCGAAATAAAAAGATCGACTTTACTGTCTCTCCTTGGTACCGCCACAACTTATTTCATTGTGGCTTTACAGTTTAAGTCGTTATAATTCTCTCTGGAGATAGTTATTTATGACACTTCTGAAGTAGTTCTCTTTATAGTATTTTGCCACACAGTAAATTAAAAAATTTGTGATTTATATACTTTTTAAATTTTAATGCAAAGTCACAACTTATTAGATTGGTGCCTTACATATTAAGTCGTAGAATAGTTTTTTTGATAGTTATTAAAAAAAAACAAACTGGAATTCGATTTAAAGACAATTGTGACACTTTGTGATAAAAAGTTTTCATATAATAGTCATTCTAGAAAACTATCAGGAAAGTTCTTGATAATATTTGTTTGGCATAAATGTATTTAAGAACTGATAGAAATTCCCACAGTCAAGCGAGTTTGAGTCGTGTTAAGGAAAACACATCTCTAAAACAAAAAAAAGTTGACTTGATTACAATGTAAAATAGGCATCAAAGTAGTGAAACCAACGCAGTAGGCCAAGTACAAAATAGCAAACAAATAAGGTTTATCTGAAGATATATCTCAGCTAGCTGTCGAAGGTTACACCAGAATTTGAAGTTTAAAGACGTAACTAGGCAATTCTCATTACATCTTCGTGAAGATTTGGTTATCGTCTTGCCAACTTTGGAAAATACCAGACAAATCAAGATAACAGGTAGCACAAACAAATACCAGACAAATCAAGATAAAGGGGGGCTCAAAAAAGATTAGAAGGAAGCAATTAATAAGAGTCGGAGGAAAGTCTTGTGACAGTGAGTTATTTAAAAATTAATATGTATAAAGATTAGTATAGGTTTTAGCTAGATGTAAGGGAAAGTAGTTCTTTTTTGTGGAACGTAAAATCCAATAATTGCCAAACTGTTTCCTGTAAATATAATTATTTATGATAATGATTGGAAATTATTACAGATACTATGTTTACTATATATTAGGAGAGAATTCAATACTGAACGAGGTTTTAATTTTAAGAGTAATTATTGTTTTATATATCATTCGTTATTAATAGCTTCTAGCAAACCTAGATGGTGATCTCAAGAAGCATGCATTCGTCAGACGAGAATTTTTGGAAGACTTTTGGACTTGTTTTGAATTAGTTTCGCACATTTTAATACAAAATAAATCTGCCAAAGTTAATATTAAAAATGTACCTATAAAAAATACGATATAATTTATCGCTATGGTAACATCAATAGAAACAGTAAATACTCTAATACTAATAAAATTGCATTAGTTAAATTGAAAAGAAACAATTTGAACTGTGACAACTTAAAGACAACACATTAGCATGATTGTCTCATTGACAGTTTTAACCACTCAATATTAACGAATAATTTTCTTAGAAATGAATCTAAAGTTAAGCCGTAATTATTGAACCCATAATTAAAGTATCCTCTTTTTTGGCATATTGCCCTTTTACAACTTTCAATCGTACAATTTTACGAGGTATTAAATTATTCAAATGTTATCAGTTTTATCGATACAGATAAGGCGGAGTAAGTGTATATACACCTCCTAAGTGCCACAGAAATGTACTTTCACCGAAAAGAGGAATATTTTTGTAATTCCTACTTATCTTTTCTCTTTTATAAGTATATCGAGTTTATCTGCATTAACATAATAAGTAATATATGTAGCTGTGTCAATCAGATACAAATATAAAAGCATACACAATTTATTTAGTAATATTCTCCTCTACAATAATGTATCTGATAATTGTAGGAGTTGTAAGAAAAACTAAAAAGCTGTTTTTGTCAGTAGACGATATTTTAACAATATTTAACAAACTGTTTGGTTTGCCTATACAATTTTATTGGTTCTCAACTGTATGATTACCCTTTCGGGAACATTAAAGTTGTACGGTACAGAGTACCACCTATCTTCGGANCTAGGAAACCTAAATGGTGATCTCAAGAAGCATGCATTCGTCAGACGAGAATTTTTGGAAGACTTTTGGACTTGTTTTGAATTAGTTTCGCACATTTTAATACAAAATAAATCTGCCAAGGTTAATATTAAAAATGTACCTATAAAAAATACGATATAATTTATCGCTATGGTAACATCAATAGAAACAGTAAATACTCTAATACTAATAAAATTGCATTAGTTAAATTGAAAAGAAACAATTTGAACTGTGACAACTTAAAGACAACACATTAGCATGATTGTCTCATTGTCAATTTTAACCACTCAATATTAACGAATAATTTTCTTAGAAATGAATCTAAAGTTAAGCCGTAATTATTGAACCCATAATTAAAGTATCCTCTTTTTTGGCATATTGCCCTTTTACAACTTTCAATCGTACAATTTTACGAGGTATTAAATTATTCAAATGTTATCAGTTTTATCGATACAGATAAGGCGGAGTAAGTGTATATACACCTCCTAAGTGCCACAGAAATGTACTTTCACCGAAAAGAGGAATATTTTTGTAATTCCTACTTATCTTTTCTCTTTTATAAGTATATCGAGTTTATCTGCATTAACATAATAAGTAATATATGTAGCTGTGTCAATCAGATACAAATATAAAAGCATACACAATTTATTTAGTAATATTCTCCTCTACAATAATGTATCTGATAATTGTAGGAGTTGTAAGAAAAACTAAAAAGCTGTTTTTGTCAGTAGACGATATTTTAACAATATTTAACAAACTGTTTGGTTTGCCTATACAATTTTATTGGTTCTCAACTGTATGATTACCCTTTCGGGAACATTAAAGTTGTACGGTACAGAGTACCACCTATCTTCGGAAATTATAATGATAAATTTTAATTTTACGCTTATGGCGTTTGCAAATATACTCAGTATGTAGCAAATGTATATAATAGCTAATTCCTGTCTTTACAGTTGTGATTCACCTGTACAAGAATCCAAAGATATGCTAGTAACATATTTTGTTGTGATTCAGCTGTACAAGAATCCAAAGAGATGCTGGTAACTTGCTACCGGTTGGAATCGGTGTTTGTCCCTTTTTCTGAAGAAAGAGAAGAACTCAAATCCTTGGACAATGTCATAAAATCCAAACCGACTACATTCAGCGCCGCCGGATTCTTTCAAATCAATCAATCTACTCCGTTTTCTTTTTTAGCACTATAGCTACGTATTTTATAATATGCATTCAGTTTAATTCACTGTGAATGTATTTTTTGCTTAGATGTGTTTCTAATTACCATACACACACTTGTAAGTTATTTTAAATATTAATTAATGAACATATAGATAACACTACCCAATCTCAGAATATCTAAATTTTCTATTTCTGTATAACCTCACTCATAAAGGAAAAATAAATGTATTTCACCAATTATTAAAAGGTTTCTTTAATTGTTAGTTCAAATTAATACTTACATAAATAAAAAATAACAAACATAATGATGCAAATTGTTGAATAAATAGAAATTTACAATTTTCTTTACTGTAAATATTTTATATTATTATAAACGCATTAAAAGAAAATTACGTTAAATTTTCGATTACATTAATACTGTTAAAATCAGTGTGCGACTTTGTTATTGTTACTGTCAAAATTTCTGTCACACACCCACCGTCTCTTAGATTGAAAGCTGGATCAGATTAGGCTCATTCAATTTAGTGTATAATTAAACTACCCTAACTCTGCAATGACAAGAGATGCGTTAATCGAAACTGGATAAATATTGCTAGTAGATCATTTACATATATCTGTACCGTAAAAAATGAGTAAATTTTCATTCAAAATTAACTCAGTTTTTTGTTAAAATGAGTGCAAACCCAATTGTGAAGAAATAATAACACTATACATAACAATTATTCTCGAAATTCTAAACAAAATTCATATAGCACATCATTCACAAATTTTTTAATGATTGTCCTGGATATTTAAAATTATAAAAACAATATTTATACAGAACAAAAAAAGTGAGAAAACAAGTTTTAATTCTATTTTATAAGGTGCTAATGAATTCGCTAAATAAAATTTTGTAGTGAATCTAAAAGAGTGTTGGGAGGAATAGTGGATATTTCGTGCCTTTTCCTTTGATATTTTGCGGCCTATTTTTGTAGACTACATTTTTTATGCGACCCCACAGAACAAAGTGAAACGGGGCCATATCTGGATACCTAGCTGGCCATTCAATTGCCTACAATCCATTTATCAGGAAAAGTTTCATCTATATATGCCCTTACCACACGTTCGAAATGTGGAGGGGCCCCATCATGTTGAAACCATTCTGCCGGTAAATTGGCATTGTTATTGTCAGGCTTTTGTAGGATGTGGATATAAGGCTTATGTTAATTCAAAAAAAAATTCTTATAATCGGTCTAGGTCCTTAGAAATTAACGAAGTTGTGGACCTATTCGGTAAATGTTATTAAATAAGGTTTTTGTTACCATGACAGCGTCAATTTTATTTAATGGGACTCCATACTCCATATTGTAAATACAATATAGGTAATAACACATCAAGCAAATTACAGCTACCGCTAGCTTCTATACCACTTTTAATGATTAAAATCGATATATGCTTCATTCGTAGTCCACTTTTAAAGTATGAAGGCAATGAAAGATATACCTTTTACGCAAACCTTATTGCGGTTGGCAACTTTTGTTGGAATTACTCCAAGCTATGATTACAAAAATCTAAAACTGGCCAACAAAAATTTGTATAGATATTTCACTTCATGCACCGTATTTGTTGTACTATGCTATTCTACAATATGTCTTTACCAACGATTTATTTTGTACGAGACTGCTCCGGTGACATTGAAACTGATGGATATTTTAGTTGATATGATGGGAATAGTATTATACACAACATTTTCGTTGGGCTCGTCATTTTGGAACATGGAGACTTGGAACAAATTGATCAATCGGTTGTTCAGATTTGAAGGTCCAACGAATTTTAATAATAGAGGAATGAGAAACACCTCATTAAGAAAAAATCTATTAATACTTTTCATTTGTGGATCTTTAATGTATGTTACTTTCGCTATACTTCAGTTTGTGTATATTGGGTCAACAGATGTTTGTTATTATATTCCCAATGTG